TGAATCTTATCCAATGTTGCCCAATCAATGTATGTTCACCTGTTCACACAAGTTTGATTGGCCTTTATTTTCATGTCATTTGATAGGGAACTTGGATCATTTCAGCAATATATCATGTCACATTGTCACTATTTCATATTTCCATATATCCATAAAATTTCAAAATGTGAACAGCATAACAGCCTAGCTTCAAGGGCAGTGCCCTACTTTTACAAGCAATTGTTTGATCAAGATACGGTTGCTTCATCATCCTTGGGAAGAGAAGTGTCATTGTGCAGCTAAACACTAAAAAAAATTCCATTACGTTTTAAGTATACTTACAGACACAAACACTATACGAGTAAAATTTAATAAAGACCACGTGTTCAAGAAGACAATATCAAGAACTAGAGTAGAAACAACTGTATCTACGACCTTTCTTCACTCCCAAGAAAATCCATTCCCATTAAGGAACAAACTGCAACTGCAAACAACTCAACTCAAATATTTTTACTTCAATTATGTCCAGATGGGAGAAGACCTGCTACAGAGTAAAGAGAACTTGTTCTCGTATGCACTTAGAGCTTCACTTCCCTGTCAAATATCCAGCTAAAAGGGATGATGGGTGCTTGCTTAGCCCTTCCTTGAGCTCTCTCCTCTAGTCGTCTTATTCTCAGAGGCAATCCACAGACGTAATCCTGTGCTTTTCGCCCTTCTGCAGATAATCCAGTTAGATCTGCCACTTTCCATCGACAAACCAAAAATTCTAGAATGTCTGCATAGTCTCTAGTAGTGTAGACACCAAGGCGCTGAGCAACAGCTGAAAAGTGTTCAAAAAGACCATCATCCTGGCCATCATACATCAGGCATGCTGGCATAGAGATTTTCTTCCTCATCATGTCAGAAAAAGCAAGCACGGTTCCATCAGGATCAATTTCAAATAGCTTTTCAACTATCTTGGCGTACGCAGTTTCATGACGCTTCTCATCCGAGGCGATTGTACCACATATTTGAGCAAGCTTTATGTCCCCATGCTCCTTAGCAAGCCTGGCCGTGTTCCCATGACAAATGAATGTAGCCCTTTCTTGAAATGATGTGTAGATAAATCCAAGGTAAGGACTGTTTTCTGTACGAGGATACTGGAAACATTTGGGAAGTATAAGAGATAGAAACGAATAGCATATTTGTGTCAAATTAAAATATCTAAACACAACAGTCCAACACAAACTATTGCGTGGCATTCATGTGATAATAAGACATTCTCAGAATTTCTTCACAATTACAGCAAAGCTAATTCTCTGTTCATTTGTTATTTAATACAGTAGCGTCAATCAAACTGCTCATGTCAGTAGTCAAATCCCAACCTTCAAGAAATATCTAACAAAACCAAACAGAAAAGAAAATAATCTAACTATAGACATGTAGCCTCATCCTTTCCAAAATTCACATAGCCTCAATCACATGCACATGAGAAGAGAGATAGAGAGAGAGAGAGAGAGAGCCCAAGGAGGTTAAAAGTTTCCGTCGTTAAAATATTCATCCTGCACAATTAGTTCATACGAGGAAAGTCAAGTTCATATGGTGATGAGAAAGTATGCAATTCCTTGACGTTCTAACTATAGTTCGAAAGAGAATTCGAACTACGAAAAACCTTAATGATAGCAATTGCAGCACTCAATTAATGCGACAAGAATCTCACCATTCCTGACCCTATCAGATACTGAATCGTCTTCTCAATTTGTTTCATGTCTACTCGTCCAGATAGGTACATATATTTATTTAACAGGTCACCATGCCTGTTTTCTTCGGCAGTCCAAGCCCTTGTCCAAATTGCCCAGGGAGTAAGGCTTGCCCCTGTTTCATCTTGCACACCATCCAAAGTATTAAGTACTGTTTGATATGTTGGGAGGGCTTCTTCAGTGACCATATCTCCAACTAGAACAATGAAATAATCATCCGGTATCTCCTTGGTTCTCTCCCTCAATTCTTTGACTTGATCATGAAATCCATCAGAAGCAGGATCTGGCAGGAAATCCTGTGGCTGCCAGGATTTCTCAACTGGCTTCAGGTGAACAAGTAAATTTTGCTCAGCCCAGTTCTCCAGGCTTTTGAAGATCTCGATCTTTTGAGGTGGCATAGAGTGTGTTACTTGACCGTGAACCTCTCGGTGAGGACTAAAAGGCTTCTTCTTGAGGGTCTCTCCCTCCCTGCAACAGGGTTAGACAATCATAAAGGAAATAAGATTAGTTGATTTCCCAGAAGAGAGGATAGATATTATGGTTGATGCATTGTAGGCATAGATAGATCTAACTATTGACCTATAGCACAATAAACTCATTATTTGCTTCCTCGGATTACCACACGACAAAATTGACAAATATCATATGAGTAGTAACTATATTTTTCATGAACCTGATGATGTAATAATCTAGTTTTAAAATTAATGCTCTGGTTAACTTTTTAGCAAGCTTTTAAATCAATACCCTACATTGATGTAATTGAGATATAATCCCATGCACTTTTTAAATTGGCAGTATGTAATTGGAATTTTAAAAGGATATAAAATGTTTGGTCCATAAATAAAAATGAAGAGATGTATTGTTCCAGAAAGAAGACAGATAACCGTATAAATAAACTAAGCCATTCATTACCCCCACCCCCCCAAAAAAAGGTGTAATATAGAGATTAGGTTTATGCTTATATAGCATGGTACATTTAAAGTCTAGCATAGTATATAGGTAGAAATAAAATTATTCTTTACGAAAGATACTCGTGTGACAAACTTATTTAAAGTCTAGCATAGTATATAGGTAGAAATAAAATTATTCTTTACGAAAGATATTTGTGTGACAAACTTACTTCACATATACTACAGAATTACTCATTTCATATATCTCTTACAAAAATTCTTATCAATATTTATTTTTGGATCCTTTTATGTTGGAAAGGCAATATCTTGTGCTGTTACATGAGAAGTTCACTCACCACGTGACAAAAGCAATGTCAATCAAGTGTGAATCCGACAGGTATATTTGACCCACCACGGTAACCAATAGGAATCTCCATAGGAAGTAGGAACCATATATTAAATTTCACATTTGGGACATGGAGACAACGTCGACCACCCCATAAGTTTAATATCATTTGGAGAGTAATTTTCTCCAAATTCTTTGGTGTTTGATAAGCGCTATGCTCAGCGTTGAGTGATTCAGATTTAAGAGCCGATATCACATAACAGCTTGGTGGTCAGCATGACAAAGAGGATATTAAAGTTCTGTTAGGACAAAATTTCTAGAGAATGAGCATTTTAGAGATTATCTGGGGAGATTTTTCCGAGTGAGAAATGTTGGTTTTATTTTTTTGCCTTGGGAGAATGTGTAGCTAAAAAGTATGAATGACTTTTGGACCCTATAAAATGTGCAGTTGAAAATGTCTTTTGGAAAAAATGATTTTCAAAAATCTCTATCGAACAAGCTCTTTATGGTCTCGTGCACTTTCTAATCAGCTAAAATCAATCAAGGGATCTGCTATCCATTCTTGAAAATAAGAGAAAGTCCTTCCCTCTCGGAAGCAGAGTACGTAACTTCTTATTCATTTTGTGCATGAAGTTTGATATTAGTTGAAGAATATCACATTTACTTGCAATATACAGTATGATCAGAAGTTTAAAAGAGCTTCGAAAATATATAAAAATTACCAAGTTAAACAACAACAGAAATCAAGGACAAAAAAAAAAAAAAAGTTGTAATCAAACTATGTAAATGACAAAATAAGCAAGCATAAGTATTAGCACTAACACGCCTTTTCGTCTTCCCTTAATTATTATTATTTTATTGTTTTTAATAACCTAAACCCAATTGCACTCTTCAATCAAATTATGCAATTGAAACCCGCCTGCAGAAACTCACTTTGTAAACAATTATACCAAAATGAAGTTAAGAAGAAAAAATTCGATTAATCAAAGTAAGTCGATGTATTTATCAGTAGAAATGCACATAAAAACCAAACCAAAATATGTTAAATCAATTTTATGATCAGAAAAGACAATTTCAAATTTAAACAATTAATAACCGCAATTTAGACTAAACAAAAAGAAAAACCAGATAAAAAAAATGAAAAGGAATCAATTGACATTTTAAAGCTGAATTAATCAAAAAATTGAAAGCTTACTTGACGTTGGAGGCAGAATTGGAATCAATTGACAGTTTAGAGGTGAATTAATCAAAAAAATGGGAGCTTACTTGGAGTTAGAGCGCAGAGTTGAAGCCATGAAGAACTTGGGAGATCTGAGGCTGGCCATTTGTGGAAGAGCAAAAGATGAATATTTTTGTGCTCGACAGTTTATGGGATTTGGACTCAGCTTCGAAGCCATTTCTATTCTTTTTTTACCTCACAAATTTTGGGTTTGATTTGTTTTCAGGTTCTGTTTCCTTCACAGTACCACCTGCAATATATGCGTGCGTGTCTGCGCACTGTTAATTGAGCCAGCTTCCACTATTCATCAAAATATCTTCCTACAAAGTGTATTTTGCTTTCTTTCTCTTCATTCACACGTTTCCTTGCTTTTTGATGAGTTCCTTTCTGTACAAACCAAACCAATTATTAACAGGAAGAAGAGGTAAAATCCAAGAAGCAAGATCCTACCCATGCCGTGGCTTCGAGAATTTTTGAAATTCATCTTCGAATTTTGTATACTGTCTGTTTGCTACCACCGATACTCAGCTTCTTGTAACCAGAGGAAAAACAAAAAAAAAAAAAAAATCCTCGAACCCTTCATGAATGAATAGTTGTCAGGTATAATTCGTGAGGCTGTTCTTCGTCATCCGGATGTGCCAGAGGCCGTTAGAGCTGTAGCTTATGCTGGATCCTATCCAGTATAGGCTCTTTCTATCCTGTTTCCCTATTCTTTTTTCTCCGTAGTGGTTTTTGTGCTTGTGATTGCAAGGTTTTTCCCTCTTTTCTTGGTTAATCTCTTCAGATTTGATTTATGTTTTTGTGGCTACTTTTGGTAGATTACACAAGATATA